GGGGGGGAGTTCTAAACTGACGTTGGCGACACAGAGCCGTATGGAAAAAAACGTGCTTCAACTTCGGTGCTGAATGGGAGAAGTGCACGTTTAAAGCTTTACCCTCACTCTCTTCCCGCTATAATTCCACATTCTACTGGATAGTTTAGCCACCAGCTCCCCTGACGGCAAGTGTGCGAGGACGGAGACGACTGAGAATACCCGAGCGGTATTTTAGGCAGCAACGACAGGGAAGAGGTGATCAGGTATGAGGCCGCAGAGCTCTTGAACTCACCCATCGATTTTCTGGACTTATTTCTTTCTACCCGACGGAGGTGCAGTTTAAATGTCTGTGTACCGAGGGTCATTATCATCCGGCCTAGGGGGTGGCAAATATGTGAGTCATGTTTAATTTTAAATCTCTACATTTCCCTTCTTGTTTAAATACGCATGCATTAAAATTTACAATAATCTTACTACGCAATTGGCCACAGCACAGATATGAAGACACTATCTTCTCTGAGGTCTTAGTCCGGAACCTAGTATTGATTTCAAGATATTGAGTGTGCAGTATCAGTATCAGAAGTCGTTTACGCTTATTCCCTTCTAGTTGAGCAAAGCCCAATAAATATATCAGTGTACCATTGTTTTCATGTGGTTTTGGGGGCTGCGAAATAAATGAGTTATTTAAGACTTTGGTCTTTATATTTTTGTCCTTTTTAAGTGCGTTCCTATTAAAAAGCGCAATACCGCAATTGCAGAGTGAGTCACATTACGGATGGGCAGATACTATCTTGTCCATCGTCTTAAATCGGGACCAGAGTAGAACTTTCAGGATCTTGAGCGTACACTGAGTACTGTTGTGCAAGTGCGACCATGGCAAGCGATGATGTCCACCCTTTGCCCGGGAGCAGGTTACTGAGGTTCACTGAGGTCAGTGAAAGTAGACGCGCCGCCATCTACTCCACCCTTACCCTAACCGCTTTGACTAGTGGCAAGACCGAACTCAAGATGACCGAGCAGGCTTTGGGCGGAAGCTGCTTTCTCCAATGCATCCTGAAACACCGCCTAACTTAGTCGTTAGTGACAGTAGACTTTGCGCGGGTACTA